CTGATTTGAACAATGCCAAAAACAAAACCCCCACTATGATTCTAATCTCTCTTCTAGTATTACCCAATCTCTGTCATTTACAGAAAATATACTCACCCTCCATTTTTTTTCCATTTGGTCTTGAATGCACTCCACTGAAACTGCTCTTTGAAGGTCACCAGTGACACCCCCATCATTAAATTCAAAGGTTCCATTCTCAATCTTCATCTTACTTGACACTATCAGCGACATTTGCCAGTTGATCACTCTATCCTCCTTGAATAACGTATTGCTTGATATCTAGTGCTCTATACCACCTTGGTTCTCTCTCTCTCTCTCTCTCTCTCTGAATCTCACTGTCTCTCTCATCTCTCTTTATCAGAATCCATTGCTGGTTCCTGCCCATCTCCCTGACTTATTTTTATCTCCCTATATTCTAAATGTCGAAGTCTTCCTGGGTTCACTCCATTGGTGATCTCATTCATATCACAGATTTGAATACCTTCTATCCTCTGTTGGACTCCCACACTTCTATCTTCAGGTAGAACTTCTCTTTTGTAGATCATAATGAGTTATATAAATATCTACATCTCCATGTAGGTATCTAATAGGCAACTCCAGTTTGAAAAGTCTAAAATTTGACTGCTTTTCTGCTCTCCACTACAACAAAAATTCTGTTTCTCTACAGTCCTCCCCCATCCCAGTAAACAGAATATCCATCCTTCTGGTTTCTCACACCACAAATCTTGAAATTATCCTGATTTCTCTCTTTCTCTTATATCCAATAACTGCACTGGAAGCATATACTATTAATTCTATCTCTGAAATACATTTAGAATCTGACCACATGTCACCACACACACTGTTACTACCCTGGTAAAAATCACCATTCCCTTTCTCCTGGATTATTTCAGTTGGCTCCTTACTCATCTCCCTGTTTCCAACTCAGCATTCTTTCAATCCTCAACACAGCAAAAAAAGTTTCATAAGTCAAATCACTTCATTCCTCTGCTCAAACTTTTCAATGACTTCCTATCTCAATCAGAATAAAAGCCTAATTTTGAAGTACTTGACCTTTAGACAAGATAATACATTGGTATAATTCTCATCCCTTAAATATATCAAAGGGAGAAGAATCTCTGAAAAGCTAAAATAGTTTTTAAAATTAAGGAAAACATAGCTCTAAAATTTAATTACAGATTGAGAAAAAGCAGGTGTAATTTATACCATATTTCTAGGTAGATCATCTCTTTAATTAGATCTTAATGGCTACTCTTGCCTCTTCAGAGCAATTTTCATATAATTAGAACAACAACATTTTGGAAGTTCCTAATCTACTTGTTTGATTTTATATTATTCGATCTCTCATTTTACAAATATTTTACATCTCCTAGGACATAAATAAAGGAAGATCTATAGATTTCAGTTTTCCTAATTATGTCCATTGAAGATTACTAGATGTCCAAATACTTTTTTCAGGTACTGAGATAAACAGGAATAAATCCAATTTAATCTAGCTTGAACTTGATATGATCACTACCCTGACAATTCCAGATTCTTCCTGAGGTATCACAAATTATAATAAATGGACCTATCAGTCTTAATTTAGGCACAGCTACTTTAGTTAACTTAGATACATTGTTTGAAAATGTATAGAGCCATCTTCTCCATGATGCTATGCAGTATAATATAGGTCAAAAATGATTTCTTTCATTCTGGAAAATCCATAACTTAGGGTTTATTTGCAATTTGGGCAACATAAATATACACTATTTAAACTCATTCCTAATTTTTCCCTGTGCTGAACTCTTATTTAGATTATGAACTACCCAAAGGCAATTTATTTCTTGGTAACCTTGTAATGTTTGGTACCAGAAGTACCCAGTAACTTTTATTTTTAACTGAATGCACATGCATTCTATGGCAAGCTATAGATTCTGTTTCTGAGCAAAAAATTATAGGCAAGGGATATTTAAATTGTTAAAATTGACACTTTCATTGTGTCAAAAGAATAAATCAGGAAAAACAGCTTTTCTTAGGTTCTTTGGAAATGATTGCTAAATTTTTCTTTTGTTTTTGATTACTTCTAGCAAGCTCTATTGCCAAGATTGGCTCAGACCCTCTAAAACTCGTACATGATGCTGTGGAGGAAACCACGGACTGGATCTATGGATTCTTTTCTTTGTTGTCTGATATCATCTCATCTGAAGGTGACGAAGAAGATGATGATGGGGACGAGGACACTGATAAAGGTATAAAGAGCATAGAGACATATCTAATTCCTAGGACTAACATTAGACATGTATTACAGTTGCTGGCCTAGGTTTAAGCCCAAATGAGCACTTGGGTTAAGCTAAACCAAAATGAATACACTTCTGAGTGGTAAAATGGTATCAACAGGCTGCCAAACATATTAAATTGGTCTCTATTTGGTTTCCATCTTATAGCTTGTCTGCCGTTATAGCAAAGATGGCAAAATTAAATGCTCATATTAGAGTAGTATTATAGTAGAGAAAGTCTTACAATGCAATACTGTAAACTCACAATAGAAACTCACATGTGTATACTTTTCAGGGAAAAAAATACTAGCTATTTTTCAAGTTTATGTCTAGGAAAACTGAAATAAAAACAGTACAACTATAAATACATATAAATGTTTATACACATAAGTTATATTCATAGTCAAATAGCAGAAGGCAATCTTAAAAAGCATGATCAAAGAGTAAATTTATTGAACCAAATGGTGGTAAGTATAGAATGGAGGGACACATTCTAAATGTCACAATTATGTCACCTATGTGCTCTCTCATATATTAATGAATAAAAGAAAATAGCCAAGCTAAACCACACAAAAACTGCCATTGAATGGTTATGAAAAGAACAAAACAGTGTGATTCTGTCTTTCAAATAACATTATTTTAGGATCAGTATTAGTCATCAGAAATCAGGTATTCAGCCTTGACTACCAAGAAAGCTCTTAGTATTAGAGCTCCTTCTGTAACTTTGTCTGAATTTATATTTTTTTTTTGTCCCCACTGAGAGGTCAAGATGAACAATAGAGAGCTGAAATTAACATGATATATAATGTATAATGTATAATTTGGATCACTGCCACAATTTTATCGAACTCATAAAAATGAAACTATCTCAAATAAAAGTACATACAGAGTTTGTATTTAAAAACTGGAATTTGGGAAGCAAAGTAATATAAGGACTATAATTGTCAAAACTAATAGATTTTTTTTTTAATAAAATGAACAAAAGAACATACCGCGTTTGTTTTAATCGATCTATTACACGATATACTAATATTTGTGCTCCAGTGTACACTAGGTCAAATAGATTTTTTTTTAAATAAAGGAGATACAAACTATAGATTTGAATTTGAGCTTGAATTTGCCTTACCTTAAAATTTGGAAAGCCTGTCAATGAGGTGTGCTCTTGTTCATCTAAAAAAGTCAATGCAAATGAACCAGCTAGAAAGCAGAATTTGGAACAACATTTCAATATGTGAAAATCAAAATCAA